ATGAGACTGGAAATTTGTTACAGATTACAAATGATGGAAGATTAAAGACAATAATTTCATACACAGCAATTCCTTATTATATTTGTCTATTTGGTTCAGACATGCTTGTTGTATCGGCTGCAAAAGGAGTCAAATTTCATAAAATATAATATAGATATTGTTTTACAATAATTTTATTCTTGACTCATTTCATTATATGCGAATGATACGAATCTTTAGATAGCAGATATCGCTAATTTTATTTTTCTTTAGACAATTTTTTTAAATAAACTATAAAAGTTTTACTTTTGTTTTTTATAGGAACAATTTATTTATTTAGAGTAGATCAAAAGTATTACTATTCCTTCAATATATCATCATTCTTCATCTGATGTTGCTATAGAAAAAAAAATCCAATATAATTTGATCTATCCATATTTTATAGAAATAAATAAAAATTTTCGATCCTATATTAAAATACATACCGCACTTCATACGTAACCAAGGGGGAACAAACTAATTTCGTGATTTCAGCTATTGAAATCAATTTGTTCTTCCTTGTGTGTTAATACGTCAATGAAAGATTATCAAATGCATGTCTATGAAGTGTGCATTTCTGTTTTCGATTTTTCAGGCATTCAGTTATATGTCATCAGTTGTGTAAAAAGAAAACACTTTGGTATCTTTAAAACATATTTATTATTCAGGAATTTGAATTGATGATTCGATGCTTTACCGATAAATCGCTCGTACATCAGGAAAAGTATACATTCATGATCTCAACATCTTCAGTTTTACTTTAATAATTTCATGAAAGGAGAAAAAGCATTTACTTTGTTGAGAGCATACCTGAGTTCTTGGGTGGCGTGGTTTTCGCCATTGTTGGAAAGGATCTCCGTTGAGTAAAAAATTATAGAGACGTTGAAAAGTGAGGCATATAAAGAATTCCGAAGTCGAATAAGGTATTCTATCCATGACTACATGGTTGTATTGCTAAACATTAAAATTCAGTATTAAGCAAAAACGTTCGCACTTCGCGTACGACGAAACATTTACGCTAATTTGTTTTTCTGCAGCGCTGATTTTTTCGGATTTCGACTTATTTCGTCACTAATAAAAATGAAGATCTCTTTCATTTCATTTGCCCGTTTGACCGCAATGCAAAATTCATCCAAACTTTTAGTCAGCTCATAGTGGAATAAGTGTACTGTTATAAAATCAATAGATAAGTAGTTGATATAAAAAAGATCGAAAGCACAATATACAAAAAAAAAAGAAAAACCAACTCATGTATTCTGTATCAAACACGACAGTATTGGAAAGGCATTAGATATTTGTCACGCCTCATCTCAAATAATACTTTTTGATCATTGCAAGACATTAATATCGTGACAATCGATTCACAAATACTACAATGTTTCACGATATCTTCGAACTCGATATTCATAATAGCATGAATCTATGAGGCCGAGGAACTTAACTCCACACACAGACGACTGTAACTAGTACACTAGATCACTTATCTACACACAGTGCCCATTGAAGATGCTACACTTCTTTGGTCTTCGTTTGCAATCCCTTATCGATTGTGTCGTGAATTCTGTTATTAAACAATTTGGATTAATGGTAGGCATAACTACTAGCATCTGTTTCGTGGAAGGATTCTTTTGTATTTTTGAATCCCGAGATTTCGATCAATGAAACAATTTTCCTTTCGTCAAAACAACATGTATTATTATGTATAACATGAAACACCTCACTGATTTGTTTCGTATCTACTGTGTTACAACTTTTCATCGAAAACATCAGTATGTACCAACTGCTCGACTTATACAGAGTAACAACGTCGATTTTAAAACTCTTTCGTTATGCGATCATGATCAGATGTTGCAATGTTTGATCTTATTAGCTGTTTTATTAAACATCTAGTATAATTTAGTCGACTAGCTTTATATTATTGTAGACTGAAAACAACACATTATTACATCTAACGCAATGTTTACCATGTTTTATAACATACACGGACTATGATTTACTATATAGCACTTTCTACAATATCTCTTGATACTATCTAGACTTCTACTAAACAATTAAAATTATTATAAAAAAAAACTATCATACAAAGAAGTATCATTGTCAACAAGTCATATGAGATTCTATCATAGCAGTTCAAATACCACGTGAAACATAATTTTATTAACTGTCTTAAAGAAAAGTGCACAGGTTCAACTATAGTATTCCTCTTATGATGATCTTTCACACTTTTTGTTTTTCAGCCGTCTTTACCATAGACGAGACATAAATTACATTCAGAGACAACAATTTGATTAGTGCAATAACTCATAGTATATATTTGATATCTATTCTTGGACATGAAAAGCTATCTCAAGAGTTGATTCAAAAGATAAAACTTCATATCAAATGTTTACTTTAGACAGATCAAAGAAATGCTTTTTCCATGAATACATTTTTCTAATGGCAGGAACCCCTTTGACTTTCTTTCACAGAACATATAAAGGAAGGAGATCTTATTGTAAGTATTTAAATCGATTATCCATTATATGTATATATTTTCTCTATACGGATATTGATATAATGAAGCTTCGAGCACTCACCTTACTCTGATCCGCTCCGCCTTGTCTGAGGAAAATTAGTCCTTGACTTATTGCATCAACAAGTTTCGACTTCTGGTAAATATATGTGTATTTAAGGTCACTGTTAATTAAAAGAAAAAAAAGAAAATATGCAAGATTTTATTCACACACAAATCAAATTAAAATACCTATAATGATAAATTTTAGCGAACAGCGGAAGCATTCACAATTTATCATAGCAACAACTTATGAACAACGAAAACAACAAACACAAAGTTTCATCTATAACAAATATAAGATGAACAGAATAAATGCATATCAACAATAGTTTACCTCTACAACAAAAACAATAACTTATACTTAGTGTTCCTAAGAATTTTTCGACAACAAATATACTTATCTTTTCTTTAATCATATTTTCTTAATGTAACATTGTCATTTATGTAATACATTAAACTGAGTATTAATTACTCTTCTTCAAATTGAAAATTATCGTTATTTGATAAGAAGTTCTAATAAAACATTTCAATACTCAAAAAACATTCAAGAACTCGCTTCGATTCATAGGCCTAGAAAAAATAAAAATATCTTCAGAATTATTTCTCTTCTAATGTCTTTTTATTAAACTATTGTTTACAAGTTTTTACTCAGCAATATTTTTGCTTCGCGAAAATGAACAAAAATAAATTTTGCATTATAATGAATAGTGAACCAATATCTGTTATTTGAAATCTGATTTATTATCAATGACAAAAAAGTAAGTATGATGTTCTTGAAGTCTTCTCTCTATTTGGTATTGACGACTGATTTTATGTCAACAAATTCTAAATAATTACTAAAAGCACAATTTTTAGTATCGGATTGTATTCTCGTGTGTGATATTTATATTTTTAATTGCAATAAAATCGCAGTGCTACCATCTTTATCAATGTCCCTGATCATCTATTTCGTTTATTGGCTGTTTCATCCTCCACAATTTTGACTTATTTTCTTTTCTCTTTGCTTTTATCCTCGAAATAATCAAAAATACAGAGTTGAAGGTCTAGTATTAAATGCACATAAAAAAAAATCGTCTATATATATATAAAGGTACTTTACCGAAATAGCTTTGCTGTTGCATTCGTTCCATTGCATTTCTTTCAGTTCTGTGTGCAAGCGAAAAATTGCACAACCATGATGAAAGTCTATGGCACATTGTCAATAAACACACTAGCATAAAGAAAAAGAAATTTCAACAGATATCCATTTTAATAAAGTATATTGTTCGAAAGCAAGCAAAACTTATGTCGGATAAAGTGTCTTTATTTCTCTTGACGTTACCTATTGAACTTGTCTATCGCATTCTGGACAATCTCGATGAATTCACGATTTTATGTTCAGTTCGTGAAGTTTGTAACCGATTGAATACAATCACTGACACCTATCATCGATATCAGGTAAATTTCGCCTTCATTATAGAGCCAGATTTTTATCATTTTCGAGACATACTTCAGCTCAACTAATAATTATTTTGGTTAGTTTACTTGTTGATTTTATAACAGTGAAAATAATTATTATTCTATTCATGGTACTAGCGAGGATTTTATTGAGTTTCTGATTTTTCTTGGGATATTATACTAAGCAAAGAGTAAAGTCAACATATCTTTGAAACGTATCCAATGTTTTCGCATCCCGGTTGTGATTTGTCACATTATTTCTAATCGTAAAAAGATTTGCTCGGATGAATCGAATTGAAGATCAAAGACGATGCCTGGTGGCATTTTATGAATTCTACACTTCTTGAACTTCAGAAAGCTAAGTATTTTTTATATAAAAGAAGCCATTAAAACAAACTAAATATAACTCTCAAAAGTTTCACAACTTAGGAAACTTTAAGAAATATCAGAACTATATGAACTCTATCAATGTTGTAAAATCAAAATAAATTATACAGTTATTCAATGAATAATAGTAGAGCTCTGCAACCAAAGAGATGAGTAAGAAGATGTTTTGTGCATTTTTACTCTAACGCTTATGAAAATCTTTAGATTAAGTAAATGAAATGTAATTGTTCAAAAATAGGTATATTGTGAAAAGAGGCTTACTTAAGAGAAAATGGATGGTTTATTTGATTGATGGTAGGATCTGTTGACGTAGAAAACATTCGATTTTCATTTTCAGAAAGAGAATTAATCCATTAAGTACAAAGAAGTTTTTAATATTTTTACATGAGATGAAAATAAAATGAATTTCGTCAACAAATTTGACTTCGTCTGAAAAGTTCTCTAAAATTAGGGTGATGTAATCGAATTAAAAAGTGAATATCAGTAACTGTATCTTAATAAAAATCTTTACTTGAATATACTGATAGACTCATTATCAATTATATATAAAAATCGTTTGTTTGGATTGTTCACATATTTTCGACATTATGATGATTATCTCTGAATGATAATGCTCGTTCGACTTAATGTCATAACTAGGTATGGGCCATTTTTTTTAATTTCAATTTAAGTAAATTAAGTAATGAAATGGTTTTACTTGACAATTAAAATTAAGTTTAAGTGATTGTGTTAGGCTAAAATCATTTATTTTCAAGTTTTTGTTTACTTCAATACGAATGCAACATCGTGTTGTTCACGTCATATGAGAGATAAATGCCAGATTAACCCGAATAAGACTATGTTTTATCATCACAATAGTCGAGAAACAACTTGCTGGAAACTGATTAGTCGACAGAAAAAGCTCTGAGCGAATCAGCTTTCATTAGAATGCTTTTGCTATATCTTATGGGCAAAACATAGTCTTATTTGGGTCCATCTGGCAGTTTTCTCTCAAACGACTCGAACAACACCATGGCGCATTCATATTGAAATGAACCAAAACAAATTGACTGATATCTCTCTCACATAATCATTTAAAGTTAATTTGAAATGAATTAGTGTTAAGCAAGAAAAGTTAACTTCATTTTAGGTTAAATTAAAGTGCCAATCACAATCATAAGTGAATATAGTTCTTCATAACATTAAGAAGTGTCTTTGTGACATTAGAATTCATGACTTATTAACCAAGACGGATTTGTTTTTCACTGTGTTTTCGAGCCCTTGCTAGAATTTTCCAAATATTGACGGGCATAATATGTCGAGAGCACTAAGACACTTTCGTATTTCAAATAAGATTACGAAGCCCAGTTGTTTATAGTTAAGTAACAGTAAGAAAGTATTTCTTTCAAACTACAACTACAAATACTAAGTAGACTCATGAATATTGCTACTTGTACCTTTAATTGAAAAAATACGAAAATTTCAAGTACAAATCCTATAGTCTTAGTTTTGCAGTCGAATGGCGAAAAGTGAGGATTAAACGAATAGGCAAAACCAATAACTGTTATCTGTGCACTTCACCCCACTTTTTACTACTTCTTTTCAGCTGAACATTCTACTGAAGTATAGTCATTATCACTTTGATACACATCCGTTCTCTACAAACATGCTATAATTTAAAAAAAAAGCGAGGAACTCGAACCATATTTATTTTGAGGCCAAACACACATTCTAAATAATATTCATGAATCGTTTCTCATATGCAACATCGATACCAATTCACAGACTCCTTTCGTTCTTCACTCTCCTTACTCTTCACACAGACATTCAACACACTCAATCTTCGACAAAATGATATTGGAGACGCAGGGGCAAAACATTTAGCCAGTCTGCTCATCCACAACACGGTACAACACCGCTCTCTGTTGATCTTACTCTTAATTNAGTTATAGGTTCGAAAAAATTGAAAACCTTGTGAAGAGGTCCAAATGGGGATTATAAGATGGACCTCCCAGTCAAATTGGACCTTATCTAGCTCCTCTATTACAAATGCGAGGAGTCTGAAAATTTTACCATAGATGCCACCCGTTGAGGCGATCATTTTTTGTAGCGGATGTTGTTTTTCCCGTGTTCTGTTTTTTGTGAAAAAACCTGCGGAAAATACTAATTTTTGACGTTTTTTGGGCTGAAATACTCTATGAAGCCCAAACAGAATTTTAACTTTTATTAGTACTCTAGAATCGATCAACTGTCCTCTATCTACTGCTGAAACTGCCAGGTCTGTAGCTTGTTCCTGAGCCAAATGGCAAAGACATCTTTGGAGCCTCCTCTCGAATTTTTCCCAATTTTGCACCCAGCCTCGGATAAAAATATGGGATTAACAAAATCGGTCCTATAGTGGAACTTCATTAGCACACCTAGCTCTATCATTCCTAGTGGTTTCATCAAATTAGGTTGGATAGAAAAAATTCAGGACTCAAAGGGTTAAACTTTATATTCTATTTTGTATATGTATTTAGTCCAACAGAATCAAATCGACATACAATAAGTTGTTATCCACAAGAAAATACTCCTCAAAAACCAAGAAATTTAAGAAAACTTGAATATGAACAACACCAATTACTATCAAGAACAGGTGAAGGTGCACAATTTACTGTAAGTATTTTTTTTTTTTTTATTACGATTGTTATTCATTCATAAAAATATTTTCTATTTAGATGACAAGTGCAGATGGAACAACATTTATTATATCATATACATATGCAAATGATGATGACATTAATGATTTATCTAAAAAAGATAATAGAGATGTGACAAATGATGTAACATCATCAACACCATCAGAAAATGAACAACAATCATCTAATAAAAATATTTTTGAATTTGTCGAAGGATTTTTTTCTGGCCGAGATTGTTTAATAGGTGGATCAGGTTGGTGGCAATATGAAATATGTTATGGAAAACATGTTATTCAATTTCATGTAAAATATATATATATATTGAATATTTAAGAAAATAAAAATTTTTCTTTCTTTTTAAAGGATGAAGAAGAAAAACGAACAATAATTGTACTAGGAATATGGAATCATCAAAAACATGTTGAATGGATAAATACTAATCCAAACAAAAAATCTGATAGCAATATTAAAGAACGACAGTAATAAATTTTTCTAATATTATTTATCTTTATTTTTTTTTTTTTTTAATATTTTCAAAACATATTTAGATACGTATCTTTATATTATGCCGATGGAGATATATGTGAATTAACAAACATGCCACGTGTTGTTGAAGTTAAATTAAGGTAAACAAAATAACATTTTGTTTTTTGATGATGATTATCATTGTTTATAAAAGATGCTTAATAAGAGAAAATAAATCTCATGTTCCAGCAATGTATCTTGTTGAACCAGAAAGTTGTTCATATGTTTTAGGAGTATGTAGATAAAATAAAATAATACTTAAAAAAAAACAAACATATTTATTGAATTAATTTATTATTAGATTGAATCTTCAGTATTCTGTGATTTAATCGATTATATAGATGAAAATGGTATTCCTGATTACGACAAATTGATGAAGCATTTTTACGAACAATAAATTTTTTTAAACTTTTTTCTTTTTACTTCCATACACGAGTTATTTTTTTTTCCAAATGTGATCTTAATTGTATAGTCGCTACTTTATTGTTATTTTATTTTTTCATGAAACAAAATAGTTTAATTATTAAAGATTGTTTTTTTTTTCCTCGCATTAATTGTCAACAATACGGAAAATAGCTATGATATGACGGTCTTGAAGAATCATGGGAATATATTAATCATTTTTGCTATTTTAATGATAATGATTTTACTATAAAAAGTTGTGCAATATTGTGATTTTATTAATGAATTTATAGAATGCTTGACATATCTGTTTAATCTATTACTATGTAATATCTATCCAGTACAGATGATTTTGTTGAAGTCATTGTGCTGATCATTTTGATTAGAAAAATGTTCGAATTTACTCAATAAACCATGGTGCTAGGGTCAAAATACTCGAAAACGTTAACTATCGTTCAGTAGCAGTCGGAAATTGCCGAAGTTTTTGAGTGTTTTGGTTCTAGCGCTAGTATTTATTGAGTAAATTTGAATACTCTTTTCTATCAAAATTATCAGTGCAACGAGCTCTACAAAGAGGTAGAATGGGTCAGCAATGACTGATTTGTCTTGAATGACATAAAAATTGAATTTATTATTAATTTGCCTTTTTTTTTAAAGACTTTTCACAATTATTATATATAAAGCTGGGAGCCAACTTACCATGGATTTTTTTTTTGAAGAAGAAGAGAGGATAGCGTTGCTAACGTGTCTGTCGCGTCTGTAGATGATACAAGGTTAAGTACTTGACAAGACAGCTATTTTCAAATTGAATCTAAGCTTTTCATTTCCGGGTTCGTGTCCGAATCGCTAATGTTCATTTTCTTTTTATAATATGGAACCATTAATTGTGATTCTGATTATTAGGGTCTCATTTCGACAGGAAGACTATAACTGAAGTTGCAGGTTTTTATCTTATATTGATAAAAAGTTATTTAAAAATGTCTGTAAAATGTTGTTTGATTGACTACTTGGTCAAAAAAAATGTGCTGAGCATGAAAATCATATTATGTTATGAGTTTATACAGAAAACAAAATTAATTTTAGAAAAAAAACAATTTTTCATGTTACTTGCTATGAATAGGTTAAAAAATGACTCGAATTGTCATGAAAGAAATACTGTTTTCACATATGTTATGAGGAAATTAAAAAGAAAAACTACTGTGCAAATAGGTTATGTCTGTAATAATTGATATATTAACCTCACGAATACTAGAATAATCAGTGTCTGTGTAAGTAAAGAAAAGAAAAGAAGAATGAAATCTTTTAATTTTTTTTTCGGAAAAAAAAACACTATTATCGAACTTGTATATCTTAGTCAAAGAATGATGAAAAGAAGATTACATTTTTTTTAACCTTGTAGCTTATTATAGGCTCTACACAATATCCAGATGTTACATTACTTGTTTCATCTCACAGAACTACTATACATTTATTGTATTAAGCATACAGATAGTCTCTCTCGTTTCTCTTTATTCAATAGAAAAACATTCCACTTTTTTAAGTACATAAAACTGTACGGCATTTTAAATAAAATATTAAATAAAAGACATGAAATGTTGCTAAAATTTTCATGTCAAAGATCTCAACAGGTTAATCGTGTTTCTCGTTTGAATCCTGAAAGAGTTAAGTTTTAAAATTTAATAAAAACAATTCGACCCATCAATATATGAATCAGAGAGCCGAGCACAGAAAAACTTCTACTGCCATGCCCTGTAGTCACAGTTTGTCCATTCGAGCAGCATGACAGAACCAAAATTCAGTTGTTCTTCTGCTCTATTACACAGGATAGGACAACAAAAATGCTTTGAGTTTCGATCATCAATGTATATATTAATTTATAAGTGTGTGAGTATGAGAATAAAAATTTCAGAAGAATTTCACCACACCACTCTCATTCTCAACACATGTGACGTATCCTTGATGGCAGAACATGTAATGCAAAATTTGTAAAAATATTACACCAATTATCTCTAATCAGCTTCTCCATCTTGTTCTAATTGTAAGTGGTAAACTATGAAAATAATGTTTATTTTCTGCTTATTACAGATATGTCAAATATTAATCGGAAATATAAGAAAGAATCTTGTCGAACATTACTTGGTTTTCTTCGATGTCTTGTTGGACAAAGAACACAAATTGATATTTATGGCGGTATTATGCTTGTTGGTACACTTGTTGATATTGATGTTAATCATAATATTGAATTATCACAAGTAACAATGTCTCGTCCAATTCAAAAACCAATATCATTTAATCGTTTATGTATTCGATATACAAATGTACGTTATATTCGTATACCAGATGAAATAGATGTCATAGAAACAATTCGACAAGATTTAAGACGAATGAATCCAAAACCAAATGAAATTGTTGGTGGCGGGCAAAAGAAAATGCATGTTAAGAAAGGAAAAGAATATGAAAGAAATTTACCACCACTTAGACCTGATAATTTTTATGATTAATTTTTTCTGTCTTATCTATTTTCTTTTATGATGAGAATAAACTGAAGCGTTTCAAACGCAAAATAAATAGAAAATCTTTGAAATCTATTTATTTCTTATAATTTCAGAAGCTTCCAAACAAAACGGTTAGTAAACATTTTAAATCAATCATTTGTTAATTATTATCAACGTTTTTGTTTTTATGCTAAGATCTTTCCAAGCAGATGGACAATCGAATCTTCATTGTTTTATTGAGAAAATATTATGCTTCTAATGTACTTTCTCACAACAAACACAAGTACCATCAATGCTGCTAATATGTCAGAAACAGTAGAAAAGACTTAACGATTACGATTGTTTACTGATAGTCATGGAATTCGAAGAAAAATAATTCACATAATCTTCATTTCAATATTTTCATTTTCTCTTGAAAGTTTTACATTATCTACGCAACCAAATAGCAACGAACATAGTTCCGGCGATGAATATGGGATTTTGTTTCAGCTGAAGGAGAGAGAAAAAAAAATTCACCAACCAGTTGTGACTTGAGTCTGCCAGGTTCAAAATTTTTGGAAACCAACTCTGTTTATTGAACGTTTTGATTTTGATGATCCCGATCCAGACCAGGTCGAATCACAATTTGATGCTTTCAATGAAATTTTAGTTGTGTCTTTCATCGCCGAGTGCCTTTCGATCGTCTATGCTCATGAGTTTCATTTCGGTAATCATTTCTTACGTCATCTCAAAATATTGCCGATACGTTCAATCATTGGAATAAAGATTACTAAAATGCAAATTATCGAATTTATGAGATCTAACTTTCGGCGAAGAACAGACAGGTGAAGAGTTTTTAATTGGCATTGAATAATTGCCATGAAGGCACGAGATACTTTTCCGCTTCTTTGTATTTGGTAACTAGCACTGGGATGCATTTCTCAGACGATTAGAGCCTGTTGAATCCAAAACTTTCGGATCCGAGGCCAGCCAGATGAGCTCTAGTGATGATCACCGCTCTGCTACTCCACCCTTACATTCACCATAGTTGTTTTATATTAATAAGAAAATTACATCATTTTTCTATTGAAAATTTTTACAAGAAAAGCATGAGGTATGATTAAGTAAGTTAATCGTTTTTCTTTATTATCAAACACACATAAGAACAGAAAAACTCGATAAATAAATTGTTTATTTTTTTTGAATTATTTTCATGATGTTATTCATCATTACCTATTTCGTCGTTTTTAGGACAAAAATTATCATTGTGTACTTGTTCAACTTGTAAATAGCGTTCACCTTGTACATCTACCCAATATTTATTGCAACCTAAGTGGCGTTTAGACTTTGAGATACCATTTTCAAGATCAAGTGCAATACGTGCTCGTTCTAAATGCCTTTGTTATATAAAAAATAAAAGTAATGTAAGAAAGAAAAAAACAAGAGAAATAAATAAAACAAACCATAATTTTTTGGCACTTTTTTTTACATCTGCATATGTATCGCCCATCATAGCAATGAGTAAATTTAATAAAAGAATAGTAATAACCACAATATAGCAGATAAGTAATAGAACACTTGTCATTGGATATTGTCCTCCAATATAATAATCTAGATCAAAATCACCTAATAAACCCAAAAAACATTGTTTGATACTTGATACATAACCTTGAAAACCTAAAATAAATCATAATATAGATCATTTATTCAAAATACAATTTCATTATAAAATTAATTTTCTTAAACATTCTCTTTGTGAATGAANTTTTGTCATGAGAAATTATTCCATAAAAATGTCTAATAATGAATGGAAATTGCTACACATTGCTAAATCATATGAAGAAGCAAAAGAATTCGTTACAGAAAAGTACGATGTTTGTCAATATCGACGATCAGATTTAAAAAACGAAACCAAATACTCATTCAAATGTAGCAAATACAGAAAATATCCATTATGCTCATTTGAAATAAAAGTTATTGTGGCTGACAACAATATGGAATCAATTAAAATAATGTCAAGAAATACACATCAACATGAAGAAAATGAAAGAAATCCAACGACGAGGTTACCATCACCAGTACGTCAGTGTGTGTCTAATTATGTCAAATGCGGATTAACAGAAACTCAAATTAAAAAGACGGTAACCATTAATTATTCTCAAGCATCAGTTGATGAAACTAAATTACATAATTTGATTACATATGAACGAAGAAAAGATAGGCCAAAAATATTTTCTGTTTATGATATGCGAAACTGGTGTAATGAACATAAAGAAAGTAAGGATTTCCATTCTGTTTTTGTTCCTTTTTATAAAGTTGATGATATTAATAACTTGTTTGTTTTTTTTTTACAACAAAACAACTGTTTCAACAAATTCGATCAACAACATTATTACAAGTTGACGCAACTTATAAATTAACCTGAAATAATTTACCTTTGCTTGTATTTGATTCCACAGATGCTAATCGTCATTTTAAACCATTTGGAATGGCATTAATATCTACTGATGAAGATTCAGAATGTTTTATTCATTTATTTAATTCAATTAATGCATTGTTTCTTCAAGAATTTAATGAACCTTGTCCAATTAATCCAATAATGGCAGACGGTGCACCAGGTAAAATTCAAGTTAATAATTGAATAATCATAGTTTTTATTTTTATTTAGCAATTACAAACGCCCTAAATATGGTATTTCCAAATAGTCGAAGATTAATGTGTTGGAGCAATATGATAAAAAAATGCCGTCATCATCGTAATTTAGTTAATAAAAATGACTGGTTAATGATCGATAAAGACATTCATGCACTTCAATTGGCCTTTACTGATGATATATTTGATCGTGGTGTTTTCTTATTGTTACAAAAATGGAACCAAATACCATTGATAAAACAATTTGTTAATTATTTTACTGATCAATGGGTTTCGAATTTGTGCTATTGGTAAGAAAAGTTTGTAAAGAAAATAAAAAATAATCAATCTATTGGACAGGTACGAAGGAGCAGCATTTAGTAAACCATCAACAAACAACGGCCTTGAATCGCTTAGTGGAATTATCAAACAAAAATATACTTTACGCAACAAATTACATTTATCTGCTTTTCTACCTAAGGTAGAAGTTATGTTATCCGATTGGTCTCAAGCAAGTATTACAACACCATTTGCTACTGTAACTGATATAACTTCCGAAATGGAATTACATGCATATCAATGGTCTGTAAAAGTTAATCAAGTTGATATATTGTTTTTTTTTTAATAATTTCTACATAGTTCTTTCTTCAAAAAGCGTTATGCCAACATCAACATGGCTAGATCTTTACAAATCAAGTAAATGGACATCATTTGATCATTATGTTGCTTGGAAATCATCGTGTTGGATGGTATCACCACTTAGTTCTTGTACATATCCAGTTGGACTTAAACAATATCGGTGCAAACATTCAATTGGATTGGCTATGATGTTCAACATTTACAAAGTTAAAGACGAATCTCGTATTATTCCACTAGGAAAACGAAGAGCTCCAGGTCGTCCAAAAAAATTCGTACGGCATATTACCATAATTAACTGTATAAATATTTTTTGTATTAAAGTTGTCTTAAATATGTTCACTATAATATATAATTGTAATTCTTCTTCTATTTACTTCTTCATAATAAATTTGGTGATCAAATATCTCTTTTTTTGGTGATCATTTCACAACAAAAAAAAATGGTGATCAATTTCAACTTTTTTTGGTGATCAAAAATATTCATGCCCTTTTTCCTTTTTTTTCCTTTTATCACATTGTAATTAGATTATGCTTTGATATTATATTGTAAGTTAATATATCCCTACATATTATATATATATACGCCGCTGAGCCTCTTTATTACACTTTCGTGATAATGAAAATTGTAAATTATGAAAATCCTTAAAAAATTCTTCGAAATAGAGCAATGTGTTTCGTTGCAGTATTGTACTCAGTGATTTCTAATGTTTGCTCTGTTTCTTCTTTTTAAATATATTTTAGATGTTTAATTCTTAAATATCAAATAAGACTCGAGCCGGTCGGCACAACAACAACATCGTGAAAGGTGAAAAGCTTTATTAAATATATTAAATGGTATTGATTCTTATGTTACATCATCTGATGATGATGTAGTTATGAGTACCAAAGCAGATAATCCCTCAAATGCTCATGAAGACAATGCTCATGAGAATGATACTCATCAAGATACAAAATGCAAACAAGATGAATTCTTACACTCGGATCATTTAAATTTCATTAATAACACATACATTTCAGATGAAGATGATACTGATTACAATGAAGATATTTTTAATTTGTCTTCTGATATAAGCGTACCATTATATGAAAATTCTCATATTTCAGTTAAAGTTGCTGCTACGAGCATCATGTCTATGGCAATAGAACTTGATATTCCAAAACATCTTACTGAACGTATATTAAAATTTATCAAAACGCTCTCACCTATTCCACATTGTTTACCTACGATTCATCGATCAATACTTAAATCAATTGGTGTGAAGCCCACATCATCATCTAAATTTTATTGTAATTCTTATCTTAAATTATGTGCATTACGTTCTGGACACAAATTTTGTGACAATGAAAAATGTGAATTGATTAACAAAGCTGAACGAAATGGGAACATTAGTGAAGCTGTCACTTTAGATATCAAACAACCGTTAAAGTCAATAATTACTAAAAATATTTATTTATTCGGTAACAAAAAAATTTTTGAATCTTTCGACATCAGCCATGATACCCATTATTAAACCTCTATGGCATGATCAAATGAATCAGTTTCGGAAAATTTCATTCGTTCTATTAGTCTCAATATTCATACTGATGGCGCACCGCCGGTTTGCACAGCAAAATCTTCTTTATGGCCATGCTTAGCTTCCATAGTTAAAATTCCTCCACAAGTTAGAGAAAATCAAAAAATATAGTTATTCTATGTTTATGGAACTCTTCAATAAAATCAAATGTTCATTAATATATGAATGATTGCATTGAACAATTATTGGATTTATCAGCACCATTTACACTAACATCAATGTCTAAAACAGCCAACCCCAAAATTTTAGGTTTTAATACCCTTCCTATGAACAGTTAGCTAATATTGACTTTTAGCACTATCATAACTTTTGGGGGAAAAGCAAGAAAAAATAACCGATAAAAGATGTACAAGCTTGAGTTTCAGCAGATTATATAAAGTTTTCGTGGTATATATAGAAAGATAGAGATTTGAAAGCTGAACAAAATAAGCTATATTGATATAATCTAGTGCATGTGTAGCAGCACAAGTTTTATAAAGCCAACATGAGTCAAGGGTGGTCATTTTGATCAGTCCAAATAAAACAATGTACCTCCTGCTGTGTTTCAGGATCAGGAGTGCCCAGATTAAATTTTATATACATTATGTAACTTTTTTTTACTCTACAACATCGTAAAAAAATATTGAAAAAACATTTTTTAACCGGTGCAAAACAGAGCTTACAGTGCTCATTTTTTATGTTTTTCGGCGATTTTTGAATAGAAAATCAATGTTTTTAGCGATTTTCATCACTATGACAGTGCTGAAGTAAAATAAATATCATAGTCGGAATCAGCGTCAGAAACTGCATTGAATCACATCTGTTTCATTGAATTTTTCTTCCTACCCAAAACTGACTTGTGGCCTCCAAAGAAATATTTTGGAAAAAAAATTCTCCCTAGTCACCACAGATCAGTTTTTGACAGGAAATCCTTTTCGCTAAAATATATATGATCAGATGCAGTTTTTGACGCTTATGTCGACTATGATATTTGTTTTGCTTCAGCATTGTGTCATAGTAATGAAAATCGCTAAAGACGTTGATTTTCTATTCAAAAATCGCCGAAAAACATAAAAAATGAACATTGAAAGCTCTGTTTCGCACCGATTAAAAAATGTTTTTTGAATATTTTTTTACCCTGTTGTAGAAAAAAAAAAGTTACACAACATATATGAAAATCAATCTGGTCACTCCTGATCCTGAAACACAGCAGAAGGTACATTGTTTTATTTGAACTGATCAAAATGACCACCCTTGGCTCATGTTAGCTTTATAAAATTTGTGCTGCTAGACATGCACTAGATTATATCAATATAGCTTATTTTGTTCAGCTTTCAAATCTCTATCTTCCTATACAGGGTGGCCCAAAAGTCAGGTTACCCAAAAAAAATTAAATATCTTCCTTATGGCTCGAGCAAAGAAGCTGATTTTTTTATCAATGATAGAGGCATCTTCAAGCTTTATATCTATAAAAACAGGGTCAGGAAGAATCTGTGTTAAGTAGCACCAATGAACTCAACAAAGGAAATTTTACTTTTTCACAACTAGGAAAAATAATGTACATNTCACTTAAGAGAAACAAAGTCATACTCTACATAGTCAGGACTTTAAATAGAACAAGGCAAAATTTACTATGTGGCTGCCGATCAAAGTCTGTTCCATTTTTTTTATAAATCATCTTACCATGCGACGGCGAAAGCGATGATGCATGTACTTGACTAATTATTATATTATATTATTATTATTATTATTATAGACCCGTTTACCGTTTCCAGTGTAGGGTGAGAAACAAAAAAATATACACAAACACATAAAAAAGAAATTAAAAACAAAAAGAACGAAAAAAAATATTAGTGTTTTTATATTGTCGATGAGTGTTCAGATGATCGCTATCGAAATAGGAGCCAAGGTAAATCCATCAGGCTATTACCCTTTGGTAAACCAGTTTAAATAATAGCCATCATTGTTCTCTCAGTTCCAGTTCCAATAGGTGTTCTACAATTTGCTGCTTTGTTATCCAATATTGTTCTTGTTACACCAATCTCTTGCTTTAATACACGCTTTTACGTGGTCCGTGATACCTTGAGGTTTATACTTTTTAACACAACCAGGACATTTTTAGTGATTATGGTTGTCTTTCATTAACAGTTCTGTAACTTTTCGTTGTACCACTCCCTGTGCTTCTGCACGTTCTTTTGCTTTCCGTTTCACTGCTCGTTGTTTATATTGAAATACAATTTTTTTGATGTTGTTATGCACTGCCTTAGTTTGTACATTTCTGTTAATTGCTGTTCGCCATCTATCTCTATCCTGAGTTAGACTTCTCGAATTTCTAATTTGAAGTGCTTCAATATCAAGCATAACTAGAGATGTGCACGGGACCGAAAACATTTTCTGGTCCCGGTCAAACATTGACCTGCTATTTCATCAGCTGCATTCTTAAATTATTCTATAACAATGCATTGTGTGGAGAAATTTTTGCTCTTTCTGCCTGTACGTTTTAAAATATTTTACAGATTCCCGTTATGAAATAATTTAGCAAGTAAAATGACCGGGACCAAACTAGTCCCAGTCCCGGCCCCGGTGGTGGTCCCGGTCGACTCTGACACCATTTTCTCCGGCTATGATAAGCACATAGTGTTCGCGTTAGTCTTATATTGTAAAGAAAAGATTTCTCTACAAAACGTAGTTTTCGAAACTTTATTATGATTCGAGGCTATAGAGAGATTTTCAATTCTAACACCGGGACCAGAATTAGTCATCCACATGTCTAGTATTAATTGAATATGATACAAATTTACAGAAATTTAGTGATCATGAAAAAACAATATTTCGTGGTTCGGAATCTCTTTTAGAACATCATATTAGGTTATTAGAGAAAAATAAAATAAATTCGACAATTATTTACTGAACATTTACGACAAACCAAAACAAAAACAAAAAATGTCTTTAAGTATAAAATATAGTACAGATGAACATGATTTGGTTATTGTTGAGCAAAGAAAAACAATTTGTAAATGAACTTGTATTCAATGGACAAAAAAAATCATTTTGTTACAAAATTGCCAAATGAAACTAGACGATGATACACCCATTTATTAAAAATCGAAGAATTCTTTAAACAAATAAATAGCGCAATTAAATGATTGAAATCGTGCACTAAATCAACTTATTCAGTAACTTAGTTGTAGTGGTAACTAACAAAACAAATATTAGTAACAAAATCAAATTTTCTTAAACAATGTAAAGCAGATAAAAAAAGTGGAGTTAATTCTGTTTTCACTTTGAAAAAGATTATTCCGGGTAATGCAACCTGTTCAATGAGATGTTCAGAGCAGAATTATTGTATCTTCTGAAAATTTGTATAGCGGCATGGACAAACATCACGAAATTTCATTATTTTACATTGTAACACTTATATCCTATCAATAATCAATGCAAACTCTTGGAAATTCTTGTCATAGATGCAGACTATCTAGATCTACCATAAAAACGAATTTATTGATTTTCCTCTAGACAGACTTGAATCATTCGAAAGGTACAGACCGTAACGAAACTTGATCCCTTCTTTGACGTTTTAGTGGGCTAGACTTAAGAGCTTCATACTTCAAATTTTCATGATAAAAATCTATTTTCTTTCTAATTCGTGAGTAGTACAATGACAGTTTTATCGTGGCAGTATCTCAGAACTGTAATTTTTTGGTGAATCTAGTCAATAAATCTGTTTTCAGGCATATATCGGAGAAATAATGGAATTTTTGTAGCTCGTCTGCTATGTGATGCAGAGATTGCGCCATGTTTGATAATCTTTCGAGAAGGCACTACCGACAAAAAGCTGAATCTGTAACGATGAATTAGCGATAAGCAGAAAATGAGTCAGCAATGATAGACAACCGTAACAATTATTCAACTTCAGAGCTCAACTGCTATTTTTTATGAGATTAAACATAATTAAGGTTATGTTGGTAGATTGTTTAAATCTATTCATTAAATAGAACTAATACAGATTTCATGGGCCTTGTAGCAGCGGCTCAGTCTGGTGGAAGAGGTCTGATGTCAAAACTCATTATCAATGGAAATGAAAAATACTATTTATATACGTTTTCAATACTGAGCATTCTAGAACGAAGGACAACGGAGGTTTTCCTTTTTGAAAACTTTCAAATGTCAATGTATTTGCACCCATGCACATCCATTTTACAAATAAACATACAAAATTCAATAAAGCAGATTAAAAATACATTTATATTTGTTTCGTGTTCATTATCCCATCGTAGCGTTTGTGATCATGGTGATATTATGAACGAATTTCAACTGAGTAGTAATGTGGAAGATGGGACCAAGGAAAGTGATTGTTACAAAAAAAATCACAAGGATACCAATAATTTTCAGACCAATGCCTGCTTTGATCATATCCATAATTCTTACATGGCCACTGGAGAATATCATAGTATTCGGTGGAGTAGCTAGAGACAATGATTTGTTGTTGACTTGAACAAAAATGAAACTGAACAACTTACCGATTGGTAACATGAACGAGAGCGAAACAGCCATGCACGATGACATGATAAGATAAGCTGGATGAATGTGAACCGTACGGGACTTTAGAACAAAAAAAACACGCAGGTAAACAAGGCCGAATGACAAAAAAAGAGCGAGTAATATTTCTTACGATACTATCAAGAACAGGAAATAAAATGCTAGCACATGCGATATTACTTGTAAATTCAGTGAAAATACTACTGATGATGATGACAACAAAAATGATGAGTTCTTTAGGCGCTTCAACAATAAATTGAAGAAGACTGGCAATAGTTGTCGATAGATTCGATGCCTATAAAATCAATTATATGTAACGTAAATATTCTTGATGTAAAACTAGACCTTGAATCCATCGGCAATAGCCAATCCTGCACCTTGCAACATAAATACACCCCATGGAAATGATTTCGATAGTT